AGGTAGTGTGGTACAGCTAACCCCCCTGGAGAGAGAGAGAGAGAGAGAGAGAAAGCAGCACATCACCCTGCCAAGCACCTTTACCAATTACCTTAATCACTGTGTCATCATGAAACCTCTCCAGGAAACATCAGCCTCCACCACAGACTCACTACCAACCTGATAGATCAGATCAGAAGTGAAAGTTGCCACTACGGAGGACACCATGAGGTAGAACTAAACCCTGGACAAGCACCACTCCCAGCTATATCCCTCCACTCCCAGCTACATCAGCTACACTTCATCCCTCCCACTCCTTACCCTCACCAGAAACCACCTGTCACGTGACCTAACATCAGGATCACGTGACCTAACAACGGGGCCACGTGACCTAACAACAGAGAAAAGAGACAGGAGGGTAGAAGTAAACTCTAGACAGATAGTTACCCAAACCAGACACTCCCCAACTCATTGTCTCTCACAACACTGTCCTGGCTTCTGTAAGCTGGCCTGTAAAAACTAATTTCTATAATTTATGTGCTGTGTGCCAGGAGTCACTGGGGGAGATATGAGTTGGTTACGTCACACCACCATCACGTGACGTCATCATACCATCACGTGACGTTATCACACCACAACATACTATGAAGTGATGAGTATTGTGTGAGTTGTGTGCCACTGTCACGTGATAAGAGTTCAGGATGAAAGTTGGGAGAAGAAGGGAAGTTATGAGGAGATATAGAAATACGTAATATATTGTAGCATGACTGGGTAGAGCCAGACCTAAATATTATTATTTTGCTGCCAGATTCGGTCCAAGAGATCCTATAAATTGGAGCATTTGTAGCCTTCAATAAATCTTCCTTCAAATTATATTACAGTAAATAATATAATATTAAGTTGTAAAAGTAAAAACTAATTGTGAGTTGATAATTAGGATTGATTACTCTTCTCGTTAGGCACATTGCTCGATGTTGAGACACATTGTCCAGGAACCTTATTGGCCTGTTCTCATCACGTGACAGCAGCACGGTGTTGTGATTGGTTGGCAGAGCTGTCACGTGGCCTGTCACGTGGGATGGTGTGGTTGAATGCTCCTACACGTTTGAGGCAATTAGTGTCGTGAGGAGGTAACACAGAGGTTTATGGAAATGTGAGGGTAGGGTAACAAGCTGTGAAGTTCATTAGTGGGGTAGACCGGGGGAGGAGGAGCGTGAAACAGCTTTATGTTAAGACTGTGTTGAAATAATGTTGGAAATTTTACAGAACTATGTTGAATGTTGATACTATGTTGATACTATCAACTATGCTGACATTGTGTTGAGAGTGTATTTTGAGGTTTTGGAAGAATAAGTTGAATCACAGGTCTAACACTTTGGAAAAGTATGGTAACTAATAACTATTTATACTGTTATACTACAGTTGTAAAACCTTGACGTTCCGTGCCTCTCTATACCGGGTACCTCCATATTATGCTGGACACTTTCTTTCCCCCATAAATTTTGAAATAATCAGTTCGTTTTTCGTTACCGTGCACAAGATGCCCGGTATAGATCACTGAAGTATATTATGAAGGAGCAGTTCCTATATATATTGGCTCTGTAAAACTATGCTACTTTCCACCCGGAGTAGCATTATGCTAAACCGGGTCTGACTACTTAGCCTCTACTTAAAATGGGTGCAATCAAAATAATGAATTAGTATGAATTGTTGGAATAATTTAAAAGTTTCTTGTTCTAGTTCTACGGTACATGCTGCATTTTAATGAGACTGTTTAATGTACCGGTAATTTCAATTTGTTTTAGTTTCGAGTTATTTACCAATGATTGATTTAAATTACAAGAGACCCCGAAAAATTCCCCAAAAGCAAAATTTCCTTCACGTAAATTTTCAACTAATTAAAGTTGTTTTGAAAGCTCTTGCGTCAATAGGAGTGGTTAACCATTTTATGTTAATACAGTAAAAACCTTCGTAGGAACTGGGGCTTGCTATAAATTAACTAATTTAAGAATACTGGTTCTGCCTTCATAGCCAGAAGTTTAAATAGGTAACTACCAAAACCTGTATCATATTTAAGTAGCATAAATAAAAGTTGTCTTTTAATTCTACCCTGCACAGTGCTCGCTGAAATTTAAGGGACCATTAAAAGTACACGAAATATCAAATGATTTCAGTTTTAAGGTTCGAGCTTTACCAAACCAATTCAAATTTTATCTTTTGAGTTTGATCTGTATCACTAAGCCAAGATCTCTAAAACGTTCCCTACAATAACGTACCGTTCCCTGGGCACGCCAACTATGAGCTAACTAAACATTAAATAAACTCTATATAATCGACTTGACGTGCAAATCATTAAAAACACGTGCGGCAGGTTTACTTCACGTGCGACAAGTTGATTCCACGTGAGCCTACAACTCTCAGATAAAACCCTGTGTTATTATCCCAACACCACCACACTTGTGCATCATTATCAGCTGGAATTATATTAGCTCCAGCTTTATTAGGAGATAATGAAACTGTAACTAAGCCGCGTAATGAGGGTTAAGGTTAAAAGTATGGTTTTGCCGTTTAACAAGGTCCCACTCCCTCACTCGCCGTGTAATCAACACTGATAGTTTTAAGATGTCATCAAAACATTATTACTGATAATTGTTATTTGGCAGGGGTACCGCTCATAGTTCGGTAGGGTAAAGAGTCCAATTATCGGATACAGACAGGGTCTCAAAGTGGGATGTCAGGATGATTGCTGGGGGTATTTTAAAGAGATGTTTATGGTATTTATGGTATTCCACGGCGTACTGGTTCACATACCATGTCCTGCTTACTCCCGTTCCACAGAAAGATCATATTTTCAATTAACAGATCTAACCGACATAAAACAGCGGCCTGATATTAAAGATATGTCGCTGTCTCCCCCCATGCGAAAGCTAATTTGGGGACTATAACTGCAACCCTCAACTATTGACCAACACCTTGATAGCTGGTTTGATTGCTTCATTAATGTTTGACACGAGCAAGCCGACTGCTCTCCTAATAACCTATAATATTAGACGACACTTCTGACTCAGTAGTGCCGGGGGGGTTAATTAAAATTGCAATGGGTATTGAGTGATAGCCGTTCGGAGCTGTCAATTGAGGGACCCTCCGCAAGCTTCTCTGTTTAAGATTTACACGAGATTTGCGAGATGGGAAATTGCTTCTTTAAATCATGGCCAGCCACATTTCTCCACCTTTCTTTGAATCATGGTGTTTGGTAAGGGATGGTAAGGGCTGGGGTTTTCTATAATATGGCTGATTTCACATGGTCGTAAAATGGTAAACCCGAGATATTGTACAAGCGTTTATGTAAATGTTTTGAGATTACACCTCTCTTTTATCTCCAGTAATGGCACTGTATCTAAATGGAGATTATCTGTCTCTAGACGGACACCTTGCCCGTAATGGTTACAATGGTTACTATGGTTACTATAGTTACTATAGTTACTATAGTTACTATACTTACTATAGTTACTATGGTAAATCTAGACCTGGACCCGACTGGTCTGGTTTCTAGTCTGGTTTCTAAGAAATAAAAGAAGAGCAGATTACTCCAACAGCTAGAGTAGACCCCGAGATAATGCATAATCGCCTAATTGTGCTCTCTTTCCCCTCTTCTTTTTAGGGGGGAGGAGTTGACAAAACCCAGAGAATATGCAGATTAATGCAGATTAGGGAGGTGATTCAGGCTAGGGAGCTGTTGGGTTAGCAGATAATGGTGTCATTATCAAATTAAGTAATTGTTTGAGACCAGCATGGCTTTTGTTTGAGGCTAGCGTTTTAATATTTAATGCATGGAATATGGGCCAGGGGAGATGTGAGAGGGGGATGTACCGTTGATACACTATAATATTTTCCGTGCTCTCAAATGAAGATTCTTCTAGATTTTTCCGAGGAATTTCACTCTGCATAATTCCAGAAATCAAGAAATCACTCCAAATGTTTGGATCCAGGTATTTTGAAGGGTAGTTTTAAGAACACCATGACAACATGTCAGAGTTACCATGGCAACGCGACAACCTAACCATGACAACGCTATTAACAAGTCTTAATGACAGCATGCTCCAGGCCAACACCAGGTGACGGAAAAAAACAGCCAATCACAGGACAACTCCTGGATCTTTAACCAATCAAAACGCACTAAATTTGTCACGTGATCAAAATGAGATTTTCTTGATTAGGACTGAAGTGTTAAGAGACCCCTAATTGTACTGGCTAACACGGTCACTCATGAAATGATTGTCAGGGGTGGTGGTGGATCATCCCAGACGATCACACCCAGAAAAATAACTTTGCACAGGACTGAAGGGAGCAACTTCGGTCATGATGATTGCTTTGCAGAAAACTGACATAATATCAGAGACACAACTGTTCTCCAATTTCTGATTTCATTTCAAATCACGGCACAAAGATTTGCGGCGTTTACATAATAATATGACATTTCAATGTCGTTAATTAGTTGTGCTAACATCCCGAACCTCATTATTACTTGTCATTACAGAACAAAACCCCCACCGCATGAAACTCTGAATTTGAAGAAGAAAAAGAAATTATACCATGTACCGTCGTGCACTCACCCGAAAGTTATTAATTGTAGTATTAATGGTTCATTTATATTTCATTTACGGTTTGTCTGTATTCTAATAGTCATAATGATAATGGTATATTTAATGACGGTCAGGCTGCAAAATTTAACGAGAGAAATGGTTGCTCCTTTATAATTCTAACTCATGATGGAGTTCTTGTCGCGGAGAGTGCGACAAGAAATCTTCATTACAACAAGTGGCCAATTGTTTCTTGTAAATGCAGACCAAAGTATTTTAATTACTTATGAATATAATGGGTTCTGGAGGTCAGCTAAATTAACCGTGCGAACAAAAGTTACTAACTAAACATTTAAAGTGAAATGGTAAAGTGAAAGAGAAATTGAAAGTGAAAGTTAAAGAGAAATTTAAATTGAAAGAGAAAGTGAAAGATAAACTCACTTTCACGGCCAACGGAGTTGTAGTGGTTTACCATTGCCATCAGCTGCTTGAGTTGATCGTTTTCAGTGTTCCTGAAAGATTGAAAATGTAATCAGATGAAGAGAAAGGAGAGAATAATTTAATTTAACTATCTAAAGTAAATTTGATTGTTTAGGTAAAGAAGATTCAGAGAATAGTAAATGGTAAGAAATAAGAATATTATTTATGGAATTTAAAGAATTTATTTAAGTACTTACTTAGGCTCATTTGCTTCCTGGGTTGGAGAACGCGCCGTCTCATCAACAGAATTCAACGACTGAAATATTTATTTTAAACATACATACGAAAAGCATCATTACATAACTTATTCTCTAATAGGAACAAAATTCCAGGCTAAAGAACACGACAGACTGGAAGCTTCTGAAAGACAAAACCGAGACTCATACTTCGGATTAAGTTCTACACTATTCGACCAACAATGAATCATCCGTTTAGGTGTCTGTCCGTCTGTCCGTCTGCCCGTATGTCCGTATGTCCGTCTGTCCGTCTGTCCGTCTGTCCGTCTGTCCGTCTGTCTGTCTGTCCGTCTGTCCGTCTGTCTGGTCGTGTTTCTTTGTGTCTTTTTGTTTGTTTGTCTTTTTATTTGTTTGTGTGCAAGTCGATTAGTCTGAGTCTGTGAGTTGCTAATATTAACCTTGTCTCCAATGTTAGCAGTCTGAGTTCCCTTATCGTGAAGTGTGATCTGCATACATTTCCACCAGAAAGTGTATAAGTCTTCATAAGGGGGTCGGTAGAGAGAGAACTGCCTCAGGGGAACCTGAAGTAGTTTATCAATTAATATACTACTAATTTGTAATTAATAATTTAATTGATTTAATAATTTAGATGCTAAGCTGATAAATTAGTCGCATGAATTCTTATTTCATTCAAAGTTAGTTTAATCGCGATATATTTTAATAGTTTTGTTGAAATTTTCAACTGAAAAGATATGTTTAATACGCAGCTTACGTTGTTTTGTTGGTTATTCTCGAGTTTCATTGTCTGTTTGGTCATAACACATCTAAACTGAAAGACGAGTTAATTTTAGCTTATCAAAATAGACAATGTTTCAATAAAATAACGCGTGAAAGCTTTCAAAAGCCCGCTCATGTTGTTTTCGAAATCAACTCAAAGATAATAACTAGATTGTAAAATATCTAAGGAGGAAGCAACTTAAGTAGGTGAACCGTGCACTTTATCCCACGACTGTCGTCAGAAAACACCCATTAAATAACCTGTTATAAAGGATACTACTAGACAGCGTAACATATCGTAACTAAGCCTAAATAACCTGTTATAAAGGATACATATCGTTACATATCGTAACTAAAACCAATTTAACTTGACCAACCAAGACTGTTATAACACTATCGTATAACCAACTTATTGCAGTAATAGCTCAAACTACTTATTAAACAACGCCAACTATACTACGTCTACTAATGGATGTCTTTATGAAGGAGTAAATAGCACTTATCACTGTATCACAGACGGATGAGCGGCAGAGAGGAGGAGGAGGAGGAGGAGGAGGAGGAGGAGGAGGTGGAGGAGGAGGAGGAGGAGGAGGAGGAGGAGGAGGAGGAGGAGGAGGAGGAGGAGGAGGAGGAGGAGGAGGAGGAGGAGGGAGGAGGAGGAGGAGGAGGAGGAGGAGGAGGAGGAGGAGGAGGAGGAGGAGGAGGAGGAGGAGGAGGAGGAGGAGGAGGAGGAGGAGGAGGAGGAGGAGGAGGAGGAGGAGGAGGAGGAGGAGGAGGAGGAGGAGGAGGAGGAGGATATTGTAATGGGGCGAGGAGAGTAAGCATACATTTCAGTTAAGTAACAATACCCGCACCCGGGCACCTAATTATAACTCCGCTTCTGTAACAAGCCATATTTTATATAATATAATAGTTTTATATAATATAATAGGTGTTATTACAAGGATTGCAAGCTCCCCTGCCTCTCGCGATATATTCGCAGCTAATAAACGATCAATTACTCTAGCAAGATAATATACAGCAATTATTGAAATGAGGACCGGGAGGCCACGTGTGATGACTCAGCCAATCAGGAGTGAGGGATTGGTGGGCAGAGTGCGGTGTTACTTAGCAACCCTTTCATAGAAACTCTGGTATGGTTCAGTACACCGTAACGACAAGTTATCAGATCCCAAATTGGAGGAGCTTCGTTAACAACAGAGAGTTATTAAAGGTAGAGAGTGGCGAACAACACCAGTAATAACAACCACCCAGGGCGGCTGTTTACCAACAAATAGATCATTCGAAGATGCACCACGAGTTGGCTTAATGAGCCTGTTAATTGCCTTAATGAGCCTGTTAATTGAGGGTATTTAGGTTAATTTGTTTGGAAGCGCTCTCGAGCTTCAAGATTATCAAACTGCGTAAATATACGTGACAAAAAAAGAAAGAAGAAGTAAGCTTGTCCGGAGAGCTAGCTAGTGTAGACGTTAAGCTTTCAACAATCACACCATATCATCATCAACCTCACAATCTTACAATAATAGGACGCGGACAGCTGTTATCAGGAATAATAGCTACTCTACTATAATAACGGGAATATTAGCTACTACTCTCATTGTGGTTTTATATTACCCCGGACCAGCAACGTGCAGCTCCTATAATCACACCTATACCGAGGCAACACAATTAAGGAATTATTATTAAACAAGCTTTTATATAATATAATAAGAAAGGAGGGGTATAAAACTACCGTAGATCACGGTCAAATTATTAACACTATAGGATCGCGGGCTGCCCGTCGGGGAGTTTACGTTACTGCCACAAGGGGACACAGACTCATGACCAATAATAGTAATCAAATCTCCAATATAAAATAAACAATTACAAATCAAGATCATGTTTTGTTGTTGAGTTCGGCCCAACTAAAATTAGTCTGGTCTAATTGTTAGCTAGATAGATGGATAGTCGGGGGGAGGAGAATAACCAAACCCGATAAAACACAGACCACCTATAGTCGCACACCTTAGCGATCTCACCATGAATATGCTGATGAATGGCCCATTCATACACGTATGTATTTAACTCGAATAATTGCTTATAATTGAGGCTCATTTGATAGAATGACCCGCCGACGGTGACCTTTTAAGTCTAAATTACTGCTTCTGCGACTATTGAACACTTTGCCATTACATAAACAATGCTCAAAATCATTAATAAAAACGGCGGTAAAATTATAGCTCCGAATCACATCATGTATATCCACATTTTAAAGTTGACTCGATCCCTCGTGCCCCTCCAACCGTCTCCCCATACCAAGGGGGGGGGGGGGGCTCATGTTTACTGCCCCCCCTCTCCCCCCCCCCCGGCCCTCCTCACTTACTCTTCTCTAATTACCCCTGATTAGCTAGAACATTTTCACAGCCAGTCTTGGATCACGGTGAACAAAAAGAGCCCAATTTGTCAGAGCCTATTGTTGAACTCGTTACCACACATAAGAACAAAGTAGAGCGGAGGAGGAGGGGGTACCCAGTGCTCCCTCAAACAATAAGCACAGACTCGTTTACAAGTGGTTTAACTAAAGTATTGAACGCGTTTACAGCGCGTGTGAAGATGGAGAAAGGAGGAGAAGGAGTATTATAATTCAGATTACAATGTCAGTATTATAATTCAGATTACAATAATAAGACGAGGAGAGAGAGAGAGAGAGAGAGGGGTTGTTAGTTGTGACATGAACACTAACCAGCACCCCAGAGAATGAACCAAAGAAAGGTAAAGTAGAGAACGCGAGACAACTAAAAGAGAGCCAATTAAGACAGCATATCGTTAAGGAGATTAGACACTGTGGGGGAGAAGAAGAAGGAGGAGAAGTAGGAGGAGGGAGGAATAACAGCTAACTCCCTCTTAACACTCCACAACATCAGACACAAGACAGTAGCTTAATCAAACCCTCATCTGTGATTAATGAGCAATGATTGGAACACTCTGAGCAGCATGACCTGAACGGAGCCCTCCCATTGGCTCTCCCCATCCTTGTGACCGGGATGGAGCGTGCTCATTGGCCGGACTGTATTAGTGATGTGGCTTGATTAGCCACTTGATTAATGAGAGCTTGATTGCTAACTGCTCACCGGGGGGCCAATAAATATATATATTTATATATATACCTATATAAGATATATATATCATATCTTAGGAGGATGTATTGCCAAGCGAATTGAAGATTCAAGCCATCATTGAAGTCCACGCATCTGTATAGCAAACAGACAGGGTTGTTAATATTGACGGGTCTTTTTTGGTGATAATAATACATGGGTGATGGTGATGCGATCAACTTTAATCTCATATCAACATAGATTAATACCAGCATTAAGTCAAGCATATTAACTTAACAACGCGCTCTAATTTCTAAAAGTCATACGATAGGGGCCCAGGGGCCCTACAGAGAAATGCTAAAAACCCGAACCTAGTAGTACCTCCCCAGAGAGCCTACTCAGCAGTTAACTTGTCTGTCTAGAGCAGGACAATCTAGAAGCAAGGAAGCAAGGAAAAGTTGCTAAACTATGTGGGTTACAGGTGATAGGATTAGTTTTAAAAGTTGATCAGATCGGAATGAATTCCGGGAATTTGTTGACAGATCTAGCAGTAGGTAATGATTAATTAGCGACCACGTGACACAGCGTATTAATGATAAAGTTTTTAGCAGGACAACTATTAACTACTGGTTACGAGGTTCAGAATGTTGATGGATTGGGGGGGGCTGGTAAAAAGTTATTATCAGTTTACAGAATAGATAATAAACAAGCCATAAACTCACCCACAAGTAGTTATCAAACAAACCTTATAAATATAATTATAAACACAACCACCACAACCATGACAACCATCACAACCATCACAACCATCACAACCTCTCTCTCTCTCAACAACACAACAACCTCACAGAAAAGAAGCTACAGGACTCGTCCAACTGTGAACACGGAGAACGGAAAAGATCAATCAGAATAGCTAGCGTAATGAGGGTGCAATTAGAAGGAGGGACATAACCAGAGGAACACAAACAACACGTTAAACAAACAGTGTTAAACCAATCAGTGGCCTATCAAAGCGAGAGGAGTATTAATTAACTAATTAAGCTCAAGCAATCTTCCAATCAAAGGAAACATCAACCAATTAACAATGACATGATACTGTCAATCAGTGCACGATATCCTTCCCATGTCAACTCCAATATTCTTGATTTTCCGGGATCAAAGCAAGTCTGGATCCCAGACCACAATAACAACAACATCACATATCCCAAAATAAAAGACTACATCACCAAGCACTCACGGCCTCACAACAACTAAAGTAAAGAGAAAGGGACGGATAACTAACAAAATAAAAGACAAAAGCAGTGTTGTGAGGTCACAGTGCTGAAATACGACTGGTGAAGGTGGAGCACACAGAGCGTTAGCCTAGTATTTACTCTGCAGAGATCAGGGCAGCGCAATTAAGGGGGCACCTAATTAACGGCCCACAGTCTGCCGCTACAGTCCTCTCCCCCTCCTATCACTGGTCATACAGGAGGACACGTGGGCGAGTGAGAGCCAATCAGAGTGAGGCATGGTCACGTGAGGAAAGGTGAGCCAATCAGGTGGCTCGAGGGTACTGGCCCGCTAATGAACGAATCAATCAGGAGCATTACGGATAAATCACGCTTGAGCTGATGCACCGCAGTGGCAAATTGCAGGCAGTTTCGATCGTAAGGTCACGTAACACATGGCGTGACGTCACTAACGGAAGTATGACGTCATCACATCCTGAGATCCAGGTTGATTGACCACTTGGGAGGTTGCACAAAAAAGCCTCAAAACGGCTAAAACTCAACAGACCTTTCACCTGGAATTCTAGGTCGGTTGGTTGGCCCTGTCTACAATCCTTTTTAACAAACCCCAGAGACTTTACAAGTCTTACCAGAGAAATCGGTGAAGGGTTGAAAACATAAACGAGCTTCTCTCGCTGCCCGGGAGTCAGATAAGGGTGTAAATTGCAAATTTTAGAGGGAAACTCATTAGACACTCCGTGGGGAGA